CATTTATGAGATTTTCTTGTTTTGTACACGTGTTTGAATCTCTCACAAATGTGATGAGTCGGGAAATTTCTCGCTAAATTGAAATAAAATTACGCGAATAATACGATACGAGGAATTCATTCGTTAGATCTTGGTAACGATGCAGAACCACCGAGAAGGGAAACACGACTAAGCATTTCCTCTGCTGCCGTAGAAACGGAAGTGGTTTCAGCTCGAGATAAGTAATTCCCTCTGACCACACTTAAAGATCTTGTTTGTTCGTCTACCAGGATCTGCTCCGTCGTACAATCTCTTTGACGAACGAATGTACAATACGGGTACACCCTAGTGCCTCAATTCACGCGAATATCCGCTCCACGTGGATTTGACTTAGGCGAATAAAAATCGTGTAAATTGAATCTGTCAGTATGAAAGGGAAAACATTGGAAATAAAAGCTAGTAAAAGTTTTAGAAATACATGTGTACATATATTTATTTCACATAGGTTGACAAAAAAATAAGTAAGACATTTCGGAAAACAGAAGTATGTAAGTTTTATTCGATGTCACTACTGCAACTCAAAACAATAAGCCTTTTCTTTTTAATTCGCATAAACTCATCGTCTTCGTCTTTTCCCTCAATGTTTTCTGTTACCAAGTTTTCATAAATAAATCTGCTGATATTCGCTGCATAACATTTCATTAAATTTTGACGAAGTTTTAAGGCTCGTCGAATGTTTGGATCAATGTCTATAATGGCATATTCAATTTCTAACTCAAGAGCCTCACAAAGATTTTCCGCAGTGAATGAATCTGTTTCTTCGTTGTCACTGCATCATGAGATTGGGTTTCAGATATGATATTTATTAATTCACGATCTGCTAGTAAATCATTAATGTCACACCCGTTTAAATTGGCAAAGCATCCTGTTTTTTTCAACCTCTTGTGATAAACTAATAACACTGACTGTATAAAACTGTCAATTTTAAAACTTGTAGGAAAATATACCGCGTAAATTCAGGGACATATTATATTCGACCGAGAGATTCGAGGACTCGGCAAAATATTGCTATAAAATATTTAACGAAAGTAAAGTCTCCGAGCTCCTCCCTGCGGCACGATGGCCTCAAACTCTCCTTGCACGTGAAACTCCTTTCCTTTTCTATTTTTTTTTTTTTTTCTTTTCTTTTCGTTTCAAAGACGCGACGATCGAAGAACTGTTCTGAAATTTCCTGGTGGAAATTCTGTGTGTTGCAGGTCGGCCTTGCAGACGCTGCACAAGGTGTCGAGTAAGGCACGCGAGCAGAATTACTTCCTGGGTGGGCTGTCGCACGACTGGGTCAGTTACTATGAGCAACGAATCGAGAGCGATCGCTCGTGTCTCAACGAGTGGCATGCCATGGACAATCTGGAATCTCGAAGACCACCGTCGCCGGACAGCGTGCGCACCAAGTAAGTTCGTTAATTAACTTTCCACCGTGTTCTTCGTGTGATCGCTCACGCGCAGACTCACTCATGTTCCTCGCGAGCCGAATTGCCGAATCCGAAGGTGAAAGCCAAATGTTGCAACGTGCCAGGGGAACGTCGAGTATTTAATGTACTTTTCGCTTAGTAAGAAAAAAATTGGATTCGTAAAGGGAAAAAGGTAAAAATCCGCACAAGGCTGAACACAATGTTTTAATTGGCTTACCTCGTACGATGAAAGAAAATGACGAAAAATTTTTTAGAAAGAAACGTTCGACTCTGGAGGTTTCCAATATGCTCAGTTTTAGATATAATTATAATTATAAAATTAAGCAATACAATTATAAAATTTTTACTTTTATTAGTCAAGAAATAGCAGAAACAATTATTTTTAATAATTATTTTTAAGTTATTCTATTTGGTCTGTCTTATGAAAAATTATGTTAATTACTAGTTTAGGATTTTATAAAAAGTTTGAATTATCCTAACATATGTATACAAGCGATGAATATTTTATTTGCAGTTTTTGTTATATACGCATCTGTATAAATATCATATTTATTTATTTTGTTATATATGCATATGTATAAATATCATGTTTATCATGTCAACATTTGTGCATATCACATAGTGCCCCAACCGCATTGATTTACCAAACATATTAAATATTTATACTTCGGTATGAGATAGAAAGGTGAAAAAAAGCGTAAGTAAAGATACTCTGTGAGAACTACAAATAGATTCCTGAACGTGAGGAAACACTAGAAAACAATCGCTTCACTTACAAAACATTGGAGCTGTTCAAGCTGAAATTTTTGACTCTGTCTGCAACTCTGTCGGAACACTACGATCTTTGTGCTTTGAAACATGTTACTTAATAATTACGTTTACGTATCGAAGCTCTTGTTTTAGAAAAACAATAATACCGGTTTCTCCTCCACGCGCGAGAACGTAATACACTTCTAATTCGTAAGCGACGCGGATTTATCCCCGTTTTGCTGCTAAATAATGTGCGATTTTTGACGACAGACCCAGAGAAAGGGACGAGACTGAGCGCGTGATCCGATCGACGTTGAAGGAGATCATGATGTCCGTGGACCTCGATGAGGTAACCTCGAAGTACATTCGAGGTCGTCTCGAGGAAGACCTCGACATGGATCTCGGGGAGTTTAAGCCATTCATCGATCAGGAGATGCTCACCATTCTGGGTCAGATGGACGCGCCGACTGAGATATTTGATCACGTTTACCTAGGAAGCGAGTGGAACGCGAGTAACTTGGAGGAGCTCCAGAAGAACGGGTGAGTGCCTTTCTCTCCTCTACTCCAAGGTCCTTCGAGGGCTCTTTTTTGACGATTGAAAATCTTTTTCTCGTTGCACAGTGTCAGACATATTCTGAACGTGACTCGGGAGATTGACAACTTCTTCCCCGGAATGTTCACGTATTTGAACGTACGCGTGTACGACGACGAGAAGACGGACCTGCTGAAGCACTGGGACGACACGTTCAAGTACATCACCAAGGCGAAGAAAGAGGGTTCGAAGGTGTTGGTGCACTGCAAGATGGGGGTGTCCAGGTCTGCCTCGGTGGTGATCGCGTACGCGATGAAAGCCTACAACTGGGACTTCTCTCAGGCGTGGAAGCACGTGAAGGAGAAGCGGAACTGCATCAAGCCTAACAACAGCTTCCTGCTTCAACTGGAGACCTATCAGGGCATACTGGACGCCATGAAGAACAAAGAGAAGCTTCAGAGGTCCAAGTCGGACACGAACTTGAAGTCGCCCACGTCGACGAAGGACCAATCGAAGAAGGAAGAAAAGTCTGACAACGTGGACAATGGCCTGCAGAATGTATCCGGCTCTGAATTGAAGAAGACCAGCCAGAGGCCGAAAAGTTGGTCGCCGAACGTCAAGATCAGCGAAATCATGTTGCCTCCTGGTACGTTGTTACTCTAGTTTAACGCCTGGACCTACCAACGATCAAAGTGGACAATTTTTAAACAGAGAAATTAAAGTGCAAGAAAGAATGTACAACACGGTAAAAAGGTACAATAATTTGCTGAAAGATCATTCAAGTTTCTGAAAACACGCTGTTTCAAATATACGATAAAATTTGAATGGGGAAAATGTTCAATTTTTAAACAGAGAAATTAAATTGCAAGAAAGAATGTACAACACGGTAAAAAGATACAATAATTTGCTGAAAGATCATTCAAGTTTCCGAAAACTGTTTTAAATATACAATAAAATTTGAATGGGGAAAATGTTCAATTTTTAGCAGAGAAATTAAAGTGCAAGGAAAAATGTACAATACGGTAAAAAGGTACAATATTTTGCTGAAAGATCATTCAAGTTTCTGAAAACACGCTTTAAATATACAATAAAATTTGAATGGGGAAAATGTAAAATTTTTAAACAGAGAAATTAAATTGCAAGGAACAAGAAAAAAATTGTAACATAGTAAAAAGTACAAGCTGCTATTTACATATTTTTGCTAAAGATGATTCATCTCTTTGAAAATACACTGTTCTAAATATGTTCTATAAAATTTCAATGGAAAATTATAAATCCGTCACTTTGACCAGTTTCGTAGTTCTCTAGTGTTAATTCTGTTTCATTAAGTTTCTATCTTTGCGTATCGTAATCTCGTGACTCTTCCATTTCAGTTCCTCTTTCGCAATCGCTGGAGAGCATCGACAAGGCAGGGAACACGGAAGTGACCAGGGAAGATCTCTTACGTTCGAGCAGCCAGAAAACAAGCATGCCGCAGGAAGCTCGGAACGTTTTGATGCCGTGCGGCAACGGACAGTCGTACAGCGTGTCGCAGAACAAGATCGTGCATCTACCAGGTCCTCCCTCGTTGGACACGCCGAGCGTGAAGAACCGAGTCAGCAAGTTGGAAACGCAACAGGGTCAAAGGAGAAAGGGTCTGGTGCTGAACCTGACGAATCAATTCGAAGCGGTCAGCAGCAAGCCGTCTTCCCCGAGCTCTGACTCGGACGGGAAATCTGCGTTGTCGCAGAGCCCGGTTTCTGACTCTGTGAACGAGAACGGAGTGCTCGGTGTGCAGCAGCAGCAGCATTCGTCGGAAGGTTGTTCATTGTCGACGGTGGCGGTGAAGCAGAACGTGTGGGATCCCGGCGAGAAGCAGCAAGACAAGAAAACGGAGATCGATAGTAATAGTGAATGTCTAGTCTGGACTACTGCATCATCGTCCGATGCAACAAGTACCAATTCGTGTAGTAACGCTAAGACTAACGGGGAAGTGAACGCGGAGAGTGAGTGTGTCGCGGCGAGAACGACGATAGTAGTGTATCCGGGCGCTACGTTGCCGCGGAAGAGCAAGAAAGACGGGGATCCGTTTAGCACGCACGTCGACCGAGTGTTCGACCGTGAGGAGAGGCAAGGCGAGCCGGTGACGAGGGACTCGCCGAGTCGGCAGAGCTCTTGGAGCAGTTACGACAGTGCCGTGGTCCTCGACAACAATTCGGTGCACAGTTCCTGGACCACGTTACCGTCGAGAAACAGTTCCTGGGGCTCGTACGACATGCGGCCGTCGGATTTGCTCGGCTCCAGCGGCCTCTTCCCTTACGACAAGGAGGAGATACCTTGGCATCCAGGTACCGTGAAACGTACCAAGCAGAAGCTCGAGGAGAACACCAGCTCAGGGACCGTGAAACGCGTGTGCACGCAAAACTCCGACACGGAGGAGAAAGATCGATTGCCCGTCGAGGAGGAATCGTACAACCCAGCTCTGCTTCTCCACCATACCGCGTCCCCAACGCCGCGACGGAGGGACTCTTCGCCCAGCCAAGAACACAATTTAAAGGTAGACCCCGCTAGAAACTCCCCGAGTCCCGTCAGAGGGATCGACATCTCGCCAGCGTCGATTCGCCAAGTAGGAAGACTGTCGACGAGCGCGCCAGCGCCCTCTTCTCTCTCCTCCGACACGGATCTCCCCTCGTCGTTGAGGCCTTGCAGGTCAGAGAGCGAGACGTCTAGCCCGTGCGTGGTGAACACCACGCAGTGTCCCTCGGTGAAACACCACAAGATGGTCCTCGAGAATCTGAGCAATAAATCTATATTCAACAAACGTTGTCTGTCGGTAGACGACTCGCCGGACACCGAATGTCCACGAAGTACCACCACCTCCGGTATCGTGAAGAATCTCAAGAAGGAGTTCGAGGCGAAGTCCACCAAGCCGGAGAAGAGTCCGGAGAACAGTTTCGAGAACGACTCGCCGATCACGGCCGCTCGGCCGAAAAGGGACGTGAAGATCAGAAGTTTGCCCTCGTCGCCGGTGATCCCTCACAACGAGTCCAAGATCCACGCCTCGGCCGAGAACAAAGAGAAAGAGAAGTCGTGCGTCGACTCGGTCGCGTCCACGCAGGACAACTTGGAGGACAGATCGGTGAGAGTTCTTGTGGGCAAGTACGAGGTGAAACCCGAGTCGAGGAAGTCCACGGAGATCCAGCTACGCGTGCACAAAGACAAGGATTGGGAATCGATGGAGCACTCGCAGCACAGTAATAAGGCGAAAATCGGTCTAGAGTATAGCAGAAGGTCCGCGCCGATCATGATCAACAACCATTCGTCCGCTCCTTTGTTCAATGAAGCGCCGGAAGCACCTGGCAGGCCACCAGTTCCATCGGCTGGAGTTGTGGCAGCTAGCAAAAAGCAACAACAGCACGGCAGGACGCATCCTCTTGCCAGGCTGCAGGTCAGGCCTAGGCACAGCAGTCCGGTTTACAACACCATGTAAAACTATCCAAAAAAAAAAAAAAAAAAAAAAAAAAAAAA